TGTATATTTTTAAATTGTTGAATTCTGCAGAATATTTTAGAATAAAAAATATAAAAAATAAAAAAACATTTATATTTAAATATTTCATCAGCTACTTTGTTTGTTTTTTATTTAAATAAATGATTTATTGGTCAGAAGATGTGGAAACTCGGGTATTTGTAATGTCTAGTTTTAAGAGTGTCTCTCTGTCTTTCTCAGGCTTTGGATTACTGCCACAGTATGGGAATGATGCACAGAGATGTGAAGCCACACAATGTAATGATCGACCATGAACACAGAAAGGTACTGCCCATTTATTACTCAGGTCAGCAATTGTGTCATTCTGCAAGTCTGATTGGCTGAATAATGATGAGCTCGCTTACATGCACCAATCAAAAATTAGTTTGCTGTAGTGAAAGAGAAGCATTGTTTGCTGCTGTGACGTCAAGCATATTTAACCAAGATGAAATTTAAAAGTCTACAAATTGCATGTTCTCTGCGTCAACACTGATGCTGATGTGAGATGTTGAGCGAATCACACAAATCGTGATCATGAATCATTCATCTATATCCCAATTGACTGAAATCACATTTGATTCTTATCTGTTTGTGTGTGTTTTGTCGTTTAGCTGCGTCTGATAGACTGGGGCTTAGCGGAGTTTTATCACCCTAGTCAGGAGTACAATGTCAGGGTGGCGTCTCGATATTTCAAAGGACCTGAACTGCTGGTGGACTATCAGGTGAGAATGACACGAGAAATGAGATGTAGGGATCTAAACAAGACTTCTGTTCAAGCATCTCGTAAATAAACATGCACGTCTTTTATAGCTCATGTTGCTTTTCTCCCACAGATGTATGACTACAGTTTAGACATGTGGAGCTTAGGCTGCATGTTGGCGAGTATGATCTTCCGGAAAGAGCCTTTTTTCCATGGACACGACAACTATGATCAGGTGAGACCTGCTGCTTTTAGGCCTTTTCAAATATTCATTGTTGCCATGCTGTTTTAAAGTCATCAGTTTTGTGGCTTAATCACAATTTGCATACTATATATCTTATAAAATGTACAAACAATTTATTGGTCTCAAATCGTAGCATGTAAGAGAATGTGCTTTGGTGTGCTATTTTTGAAATTTGCACCTGTGCGATGTTTTAAGTGCTAATATTTCCCACAATCCCTTGTGTTAACAAAAAGGAAGTTTGATGATGTCTTGCTAGTGTCTGTCTTCATAAATTCATAAAAAGTGCAGTACTTTGCATACTCAGAAGTATATGAATAGTAGTAGGTATAATGCTGCAGGCATGATGTATTTTTGTAGACTCAAACCTGTAAAGGAGTTAGCATTTTAGCAAAAACACTTCCATTGTCCCAAAGCCAATGGGTTTTTTGAATGGATTTTTGGATTTAAAAAAATCTGTGGTTAACACAAGCTGAAGATATTTTCATGTTTTATTCTACAACATAAAATACATCAGTAATATTGCCTTGGGATTTTAATAAAATACGTAAAATGCATCCGTAATACCTTTTGTGATTTTAGTAAATAAAAATACATAAAATGCATCAATAATGCCTCGTGATTTTATCACAAGGAAACCAGGGATGATGCTAATTTCTGGTTTGGCCTACAAAAATAATCATGACTGCAGTATTCTGTTCAGCTGGTTTGATCTGTCGAGTGGTGGCTGCTGCCCTCTGCTGTTTTTAACCAGTTCTGTCTCTTTTTCCAGCTTGTACGGATTGCAAAAGTTCTGGGCACAGAGGACCTCTACGACTACATCGACAAATACAACATTGAGCTCGACCCACGGTTCAACGACATTTTGGGAAGGTATGTTGAGAGATGGGATTGTTTTTATGCATGTAGTACTTTTTAACTGCAATTTAGATTTGTATCTCTTTCATTCGTCCTCTTTCTCCAGACATTCCCGGAAAAGGTGGGAACGGTTTGTCCACAGTGAGAACCAGCACCTGGTCAGTACTGAAGCTCTGGACTTCCTGGACAAACTGTTGCGCTACGACCACCAAGCTCGTCTCACTGCGCGCGAGGCCATGGAGCACCCTTATTTCTGTGAGTGTCTGCTCTCACTCTGTGTCTTAGAACATCACTGCGGTTAAAAGCATAATGTGTTTATAGAATAGTGTTTGTGCTTTTTTCTAAAACACATATCATGTATTGTGATGAAATGACTGTAAAGGTATTTAGCAGCGATGGAAAGGTGTGTAGGGCCTTATGAAATATTTCATTTTTTTCTCCAATTTTTTTTCCTGTTGTTTTTCAGAATTATGTTTTAATGGATAAGTGTTATTAATCAAAAAGCATGTCTAATTAATGAAGATATTTTCATGTTTTATTCTACAACATAAAATACATCAGTAATATTGCCTTGGGATTTTAATAAAATACGTAAAATGCATCCGTAATACCTTTTGTGATTTTAGTAAATAAAAATACATAAAATGCATCAATAATGCCTCGTGATTTTATCACAAGGAAACCAGGGATGATGCTAATTTCTGGTTTGGCCTACAAAAATAATCATGACTGCAGTATTCTGTTCAGCTGGTTTGATCTGTCGAGTGGTGGCTGCTGCCCTCTGCTGTTTTTAACCAGTTCTGTCTCTTTTTCCAGCTTGTACGGATTGCAAAAGTTCTGGGCACAGAGGACCTCTACGACTACATCGACAAATACAACATTGAGCTCGACCCACGGTTCAACGACATTTTGGGAAGGTATGTTGAGAGATGGGATTGTTTTTATGCATGTAGTACTTTTTAACTGCAATTTAGATTTGTATCTCTTTCATTCGTCCTCTTTCTCCAGACATTCCCGGAAAAGGTGGGAACGGTTTGTCCACAGTGAGAACCAGCACCTGGTCAGTACTGAAGCTCTGGACTTCCTGGACAAACTGTTGCGCTACGACCACCAAGCTCGTCTCACCGCGCGCGAGGCCATGGAGCACCCTTATTTCTGTGAGTGTCTGCTCTCACTCTGTGTCTTAGAACATCACTGCGGTTAAAAGCATAATGTGTTTATAGAATAGTGTTTGTGTTTTTTTCTAAAACACATATCATGTATTGTGATGAAATGACTGTAAAGGTATTTAGCAGCGATGGAAAGGTGTGTAGGGCCTTATGAAATATTTCATTTTTTTCTCCAATTTTTTTTCCTGTTGTTTTTCAGAATTATGTTTTAATGGATAAGTGTTATTAATCAAAAAGCATGTCTAATTAATTGAAATCCTGAAACTTGTACTGTTTTAACAACAGATGATTACATTTTTAGGGCCTTTATTTTTATTTTTTCCCCCCAAATTCTGTTTTATTTTCCCCTAATTTACTGTTTTAATTCAATTTAATAATTAAAAAACAAATGCTTATCAATTGAGTTCATGAAACATTAATAATTTAAATATTATGCAAAAATTATAATGTAAAATTATTAAATACAAATAATAATTTATTTAAATTACCATTTTTATGGGGCCCTGTACATTTTCCTTTTCCCCCCAGAAATTATTTGTTGCCCGTTTAAATTTTTCTGAAGTCATGATTTAATTAAAAAAGCAATTTTTAATCTTTTAAAATGTAATCAAATTAACCTTTATTTTGCAAACAGAGTGCAGTACAACAGATGTTTACTGTTAAACAATGAAGAAAATTGTGATATTCCTCAATGTTTTAACAATTTGATTGTATTACTACTACTACTTTGAGAAGTACGTTGTTGTAAAATAGTAATGTATTTCTGTCACAATTTCTTGAAGGTAAAACAAATTTTAATTTTGTGGGGTTATCATTAAGATCTTTCAAATAAAATTGTGAAATGCTCTTAAAATTCAACAATTGTCAAATTCCGTGACGATCCCTGTTCATTGCAGTAAATTTTATTTTTATGACTGAATTCTGTAATTCCATCCACATTTTCTGTATTGTGGAAATCATAGGGTATGAATCATCTTTTAGCAAGAACTAAAGTGTTTGTCACGTGGAAGCATAATTTTTTTTCCTTTTTTGAAATAGTTTGTACTGTACTGATTATGCCTCAGTGTGCAACATTAATTTCATCACTGTGTTCATGTCTCGTGTCAGATCCCATTGTGAAGGACCAGGCGAGGATGGGCTCCACTTCAGGACTGTCCACTGGCTCCACTCCAGTCAGCACGTCCAGTATGATCACAGGTCAGTCGTGTGCTTTCTGAGTGAACTTACATTAGGAGATTTCACAAATACTGACAAACCATTGTGTCTGTTTGCCTGTAGGAGGCGTCACATCCATGTCCTCGTCCCAGCCGATGGCCAACATCGCAGGTTCTCCTGTCATCTCCTCTCCCAGTGCTCTTGCCACACAGGTTCCTGCAGCCACTGGTGCTCAGCCCTGAACAGACTCACTCATGCTCTCTTTGCCCTGGGCCACATTTTTATGTTGAGTGTAAACAAATGAAAGAGAGACTAAATTAGGTTTCTTTTTTTTCTTTCTTCTTTTTTTCTTTCTTTTTTTCCATACAATAATTATATATTGAAGCTCGGACACACAGCAGACAGTTATGTTGTGTCAGTGTCCGGCAGACTTTCCTGATGATGGTGTCTATATAGAAGCCACTACAGTGTAGAAATTCAGAAAAATGGATAATAAAATTTATTTTATATGTCCCTATGTTGGCTTCTGTTTGTTACTTGAACAGTTGCTGTTCCTCTGCAGGTTTGGGGAATTAATATCAAGGTGCAAGAGACATATTTACATGTAAGCTTTCAGCAGATGCTCTTATCCAAAGTAATTTTATTGTAAATTAAAAAACAACAAAAAACGCTTAATTTCAACAAGTTTACCAATAATACAGATGCCATATTTTTTCACTAACATGCCCCCAACTTGGAAACCCTGGGCCTAAAGAAAGTTTCTTATTTGTGATTACAACTTTGTGGTGGCATTCATGTGCGTTCAACTTGAAAAAGTGGTAAGTACATTCATTCTTCAAAATGTTCCATTGAAAAAATAGTAGTGAGCAAAGGGCTTTTTTTTTTTTTCTTTTGTAAGAAAAATCTATTTGGGTGTGATGAATTAAACTGCTGCAGGAGCTTCACACACAAATCTTTTCTCTAGAAAACAGAAAGCATCCGACCAGAAATCCGTCTCTCCGCCTGGATGTCCCAGACCAGCGCAGTCTTCACCGTCCGGATGGCCTTTAGTCCAGTTATCAGGCTCTCTGATTCCATTCTCTCGCTTAATCCAGAATCTGCAGAATGGAAAAAACACAAAATACATCTGCTTCAAGTATTGGTGGTTTTTCAATGCAAAGGTGGCATTTTAAACATTAGTGTGGATCTTACCCTGCTGAATCATTGACTGGCTGGTTGTTCACCCAAACCCAGTGACCCTCGGTGTCCAAATCATTAAGACCAATCCAGTGGGTTTTTTTTACTTTAGAGGTAACAAAATCCTGAAGGAGAACAAACTGAACAGTGTTACTATCATGCGAGATCTGATGTAGTGCACAAAAGGTTCAGAACAGATAAATGTATAGTATTTAAAGTCAACATGAACTGACTCGGTTTTGGGGCTTTTTAATGCACATTCCAGGTCGTGTTGTAAATGATTCCTGTTCAACTGACATCACGCATCAAATTTATGTACGATCAGTAATTACCTGGCACAATATTGCTTTCTAGAAACCTAAAAACAAGTACCCTGCCTTCACCGATCTGCTGAAGACAGACTAAACCACAACCATAAACAAATACTTCCAATTATGACTCCTATTTTGGAAAAAAGAGAGACTGTTCTCTCTTTCTTTACTTCTCTGCATTTAACATCTGCTTTAGCCTAGTTTGTGATGTTCTTTTGTAAGTCAATTTGGTTAAAAGTAGCCTATATGCTAAATAAATAAATTCCAGATGCGCAAAATCAAGTACTGCCTCCTTTTCCTTGAACTGGTTCTCTCAAAAATGTCACGTTACAGACGTAAAATACTTTAGAGGTAACAAAATCCTGAAGGAGAACAAACTGAACAGTGTTACTATCATGCGAGATCTGATGTAGTGCACAAAAGGTTCAGAACAGAGAAATGTATAGTATTTAAAGTCAACATGAACTGACTCAGTTTTGGGGCTTTTTAATGCACATTCCAGGTCGTGTTGTAAATGATTCCTGTTCAACTGACATCACGCATCAAATTTATGTACGATCAGTAATTACCTGGCACAATATTGCTTTCTAGAAACCTAAAAACAAGTACCCTGCCTTCACCGATCTGCTGAAGACAGACTAAACCACAACCATAAACAAATACTTCCAATTATGACTCCTATTTTGGAAAAAAGAGAGCCTTTGTTCTCTCTTTCTTTACTTCTCTGCATTTAACATCTGCTTTAGCCTAGTTTGTGATGTTCTTTTGTAAGTCAATTTGGTTAAAAGTAGCCTATATGCTAAATAAATAAATTCCAGATGCGCAAAATCAAGTACTGCCTCCTTTTCCTTGAACTGGTTCTCTCAAAAATGTCACGTTACAGACGTAAAATGGGTTCTGTTTCATGTTGACTTTACCGATATCAGAATGTTGAGTGTATTTTTGCTAAAACGTCAATCAGTGGTCCTAAAAATGTATATGATTTGTTTCGATGTGTGCACTATTTAACTGTAGAACATGAAATTGATGTCAGAAGGGTTTAACTGGTGAACACACCTGCTCTGCTTTGCTGTTTATGATCACTAGATGTCCTCCTAGAGTCACACAGTGATCTCGACTCTGTGTCCAGTTCATCTTAACCGTAGAGAAGTAGTAACACTTTCCTCCAGAATGAATCCAGTGGACGGCACAAAGTGCGCAACCTGTGCTGTCTTTAGTAAAAGAGGTAGAGATGAATCAATTCTTATTTCAGACACATTTTCTCTTTGTATTATAGAGTAATTGTATGTGTGTTTAAGGTCTTTTACACTTTGCACATGGCTCAGATCTTAAGACGTACAATTTAATCTGTTCAGCTTTCTAAGTGTCTCCTCATGCTGGTTATGGAGCGCATCAAACTGTGCTTTGTAATCTGCATCCAAAAAGAAACAGCGATGAAGAGATGGTGTGGGGGTGTTTGACAATTGACTGCACAAATTGGAAGTGAAATTGTTGTGGTTGCTGTACTTCCCTCACCTGTGGCATTGTGGTCCTGATCAGACACAGACACATTGAAGTCTGAATTAAAAAAAGCAAAAGACAGATGCAAAACAAATCAATATAATCTCAAATATTTTAGACCAGAAGTACCATGGATTCTTTTTTGTAATAGAATCTCAAATATGTAGATATAATCAAAATGCTTATGTTTAGGCATGAGTTTAGAAGTAAAATGAGTTACGTGTAGCACGGGTAAGAAGTATCACCAGAGTACAAACGCCTCCTAAAGCAAAGACCAGACAGACACTGAGAATTATCAGAAGAACTTTAGTCCTTTTATGCACAGGCACTTCTTTCTTGAGGGTCTTCTGATCTGTGATTAGAAGTCAGATGAAGTTTATAATAATTATCTATACAAGTCAAATGCTTAAAAAAAAGACGTAGGTACAGTATAGATATACATCTTTGAGGAATATGTTGTTGAACAATGAACATTTACATTTATTCATTTAGCATAACCCTGGGTATAATACAAGAACTTGACAAATATGTAAATAAATGCACATTAAATATTGGTTTGAGTTACACACACAAACCCGCATGTTGGGTTTCCATTTTTCGCAGAGGCGGACAGTAACTAAGTACATTTACTTGAGTATTGTACTTAAGTACACTTTTTGAGTATCTGTACTTTACTTGAGTATTATTTTTTCTGGGAACTTATGACTTTAACCACTACATTTGAAAGGCAAATATTGTACTTTTCACTCCACTACATTCCTATGAAGGTCCTCAAAGTAGAAAGTAGTTACTCTGTAGCAGCTTTGAATACTTGTAATGGAGTAATATTTGACCAGCGGTATCTGTACTTTCACTTGAGTACAGTTGAGTACTTTGTCCGCCTCTGATTTTTTGTGGGAACATTACATAGATGTAATGATTTTTGTGCTGTACAAACTGTATTTTCCACCCCTTTACCCCTCACACAAAACTACTGGAATTTTTAGATTTAAAAAAAACATTCTGTATGATTTATAAGCTTGTTTCCTCATGGGGACCAAAAAGTGTTCCCACAAGGACACAGATTTTGGATATTGCCGCCTTTGTGGGGAACACACACACACACACACACAGTCTGGTCAGCTATCCTTGTGGGGACTCTCCATAGGCGTAATGGTTTTTATACTGTACAGACCGTATATTCTATTGCCCTACACCAACCCTACACCTAAACCTACCCCTCACAGGAAACTTTCTGCATTTTTAGATTTTCAAAAAACTTAATTCTGTATGATTTATAAGCTTTTGTACCTGTGGGGGCCACAATTTAGGTCCCCACTGTGACACGGGTCCCCATGAGTCTGTGTGTAGTCAGGTTTAAGTCCCCACCAGGATATATAAACCAGTACACACACACACACACGCCGTATTCTGTATGGTCAGTAAAACCAGTTTAAACCAGAGCAAAGTATGAAGTACGATAAAGAATGTCTGAACTTCGCCACAGTTTTTGATACTTCCTTGAAGGAAGGAAATGTGACATTCTTACTCAGAAGTTTTATTTCTTTAATAAAAGTTGTTTATAGTGCTGATTGATGATTTTGATGTGAAGTTTTGATACAGAATGAATGAATGAGAATTGACAGTCAGTACTATAGAGATTAGATCTTTTGTTTTAATTTATTTGAAGTGTATTTAAAAGTATTTGTTGTGCTTCATTGTAAGACTAATCATCAATGTAGAACAATGTAAAGTAAAATATAGGCTACAGTATATTTGAATAATTAATAATATTATTCTAATATTAAATAATAATAATAATAAATGGTTTATCAGGCATAATTAGATTTTTGTTGATAAATTGTCTTACCTTTGTATCGGTTTCTAGCAGTTGTTGAACATACTTCAGAATTTGCATAGACTGCATCCATTTCATTAAACTGGCAGATGTCCGAGTGACTGACAGTTAATGAAGTCAGGCTATCTAAAATAAGCCAGTGTAGCACAGGAAATAATCATTGGCAGACAGTAGAGCAGGAAATAAATAAAAAATAGGCTAAATATAATAATATTTCCAACAGGCAAAATGAAAGAAGTCCCATGACAAGTATGCCTTAAAACACCCATTTATTTGCTATGTGCACTTGACTCACCCATATTTAGTTTTTCTGAAAAGCTGTCTTGTATTTCTTGCATTGGGCTTGTCTCTTCTATTAAAGTAGTTAAAAATATTGCTTATAAAAAAAAAAGGACATTTCTATTTTGTTTTGCCCCTCAGATTTCACAAAAACCTAAAAGGTGCAGTGTGCAGTATTGATAGGCTATATGGGCTGAGTCACAAAGACCAAAACAAAAACAGCCATTCCGACATGAACAGCATGTTTCCTAAATATCTGCAAACATATTGTGGTATTTTTATTCTTTAGTACAGTCAAATAATTACATACTGCATTGATCTGACTTTGATTTGTCCAGTAATTTTGAATGTAATAACTTTATCAAATGTGCCATTCATTTTTATGTAATCTGCACCTTGTCATTTAGTATATCATACATTTGTAATGCTATTGCTTCTTATTAGGCCTATACTTTTCTGAGGTTTCTGAGAGTGCACAATGAAAACTATGTAACTCTTTTCCCCCTGTAAAATTATAGGGAAGTGAGGTCAGTTTGTGTAAGACAGGAATAGCTGAATTTTCAGTCATACGGAGGCTACGAAACTGACATCGAGAACCCAGAGAGAGTGCAGCAGATTCAGCTCAAACAGCAAACTGCAATAAGGCAAAATATTTTCAAAATTGCATATACATATACAATATAGCATGAATTACTCACACATGATCCCCAGAACACAGAGTCCTCCAAGAGCCAAAACAAGAGAGACGCTGAGAACAGCCAGAAGAACTTTGTTACCTGTGATTAGAGATTTCAAATGTGATGACTGAATTCCAGCATGATTCAAATGTGTAATGTTGATTATTTTATTAAATATTTAACTGGCAGTCAGCTTGAGAACAATTTATTGGTTTAGTTTTTTCAATTTAAAGTAGCATTTTACAAATTCATCAGTCAAGAGAGTAATAGAGTGATGCTTTATACTGAGCATCAATAGAGAAGTGTGGTGACTGGAAACCATAAATAGACTCAAGTGAAACATAAATATACTAAAATGTATCCGAAATAAATTTATTTCATACTAAGTACTACAAATACATTTTCATATTTATGTATTTAATAAAATACCCTGCAATTTTACATTTAGTATACTAAACTGTTATAATTAAAATGTTCTAAATTGGAATAACTAATTTTGTGCTTAATGCCTGATAAACTTTGAAGATCATCTTTTAATCTGTGGTACAGTTTTGGTCAGTGTGACTGTAGATTCAGCGCCTAATTCATCAGCAGCATGACAGGAGAGAAATCCCAATTCTTTCATAGCTGTTATTGCTATTGTATTATTAGTGTACTCTGATATTATTGTTATATATTAATAATATTAACATCAATGGTTTAAATAAAATATGAACACATAATCATACTGTTGTTGCATCAAAATGTGAAGTAAACAGGCAGGAGACAATGTAAACATTTATTTTCTAAAAGTAACTCACATCAATCTCTAAAGAATGAGGCTATCCTATGCCTCTGGCTTTCAACATCTACAAAAACAAACATTATTTTACTCTTAGTAAAACAAAAAAAAAAAGATAACATGATTATTAATTGTTTTATAACGCATCGATTCGCTACAGAAGGCCTTCGTTCATAATAATTATTAACTTTACTTGCCTTAAAGGGTTAGTTCACCCAAAAATGAAAATTAGCCCATAAATTTCTCACCCTCAAGTCATCCTAAGACTTTCTTCTTTCAGTCGAATCCAGTCGGAGTTACATTAAAAATTGTCTTTGATCTTTCAAGCTGTTTAATGCCACTCAGCAGGTGTTGCATGCATCAGTCCAAAAGAAGTTAAATAAAAAGCGCCCATCCATAAAAAAAGTGTCTCACACGGCTCCAGGGAGAGAACAAAGGCCTTCTGTAGCGAATCGATGCATTTTTGTAAGAAAAATAACCATATTTAAAACGTAATAATCAATTTAATCTAGCTTGCGCCAACAGTTGTACACGGAAGCAGTTCCGGGAGGATGATGCATGAGGTCGGCTTTGCGCATGCTCCGCTCAGAAGTGATGAAAGCGGAAGAGCAGCGGAGAGATCAAAACAAAACAACGGTCACTAACTAGAAGTACAAAACGAGGATTTGTAAAGAAGAATGTCAGAGGAGTTCGATATAAACCAAGAGGAGACTGGTTTTCCTTTGCTAAAGTAAGGAAACTTTGCTTCCTTTGCTTTTGTTAACAAACGTTGGTTTTCACGAGACGCACCGGCGCATGCGCAGCGCCGACTTCATACGTCATCCGCCCGGAGCTGCTTCCGTGTACAACTGTTAGCGATTTCAACAGCGAAGTGATTTATCACTTCATCTGCCTCAAAATAATTAGACTCACCGGCGCATGCGCAGCGCCGACTTCATACGTCATCCGCCCAGAGCTGCTTCCGTGTACAACTGTTAGCGATTTCAACAGCGAAGTGATTTATCACTTCATCTGCCTCAAAATAATTCGGCTAGACTTTATTACATAAGTTTACATACATTCAGTTTAACCGCGAAAAAGGAGATGACAAATTAACGTAAATATGTTAATAACCCTCTATTAACACCTCAAAAATGTAAATATTGTAAAATCGTATGTAAATATGACATAAGGCACTCACTGACGTCATATTAAAAGTACATCTTCCGTTCATATGAAAAGTACAGGCCGTTAAGACTAACTTATTTCTGAGGCGAAAACCGCGTCTGCGTATTTTTCAATAGAAGCTCTTTTCGGACTATTTCCGCATTCCATGAAATCTCAATATACTACCGGACTCAAACAATGAATGATGACTTTACATTTTGAATCTTTACTTACCATAAGCCGTCTTTCATTCACTCGCACTCACTTCCATCTGAAGACGCTGAGGAAATGCTTTTCGCACTGGTGTCGTCCGATGTTAACATGACGTGCATGCTCTCTTTCACGTCCACTGGGTTATAGCTCAAGACAACCCAACGTCCTTATCCAGCAGTCTCAACCCAGCGTTTTTTAGAGTGTAGGCTGGTTTGCATGTGGGGCTATAGCAAGCCCAAGGACCCCAGTAAGTTCATCTTGTTTTCTACAATTAGTATTTTTTAAATAATCAAATTTTAAACAGAGATACAATGAATGATTTGCTCAGGGTATAAGGAGGAAAGGTAACTTAATCATGGAGAAAGGCTTTTACCCTGCAGCTCCCTTGTGCATCCTTGTATAAACCGTTATAGAAAAGTTTTTTTTTTTCCGTGCAGTATGTTGTTTCATTCTATCTGTATATTTAGTTTTTTTTTTACTTTTATTTTATATCAATAACAATTATTGGTTCACAATTTTAGTGTAAGTTTCCAGCCTTAAGAGAGTTGCTGATTAGAAAGTTGCTGTTCTTTGGAAAAATAATTAATTTTTGAAAATGCTTAGTAACAGAGATGTTGATATTTAACACACACACAAACACACATATCCTCTGAAACCACAG